TCTTAACAACCATACCTCCCGGGGAGAAACATTGTTTTGGCAATCTGCCTCTGACCACTACAAACAGTAGAGCTCGTTTGGTAGGGAGATCTTCTCATCTCTTTTGGGGACATTCTCTCAGCAGCAGTTTCCTGACTTACCGTCACGTGACACGTTTGGTTTGACCAACTATTTTTAATGTTGAGTGATTAAAACAGAATATCCTGTGGAAAGGAGGTCTCACTGGATCGTTCAGACATGTTCAACGAGGGCTACCAGTGCTAAACGGCAACATCGATCTGGAAGTGTTATCGCGTACAGTGTATATTGTTGATAAGATGCAATACTTGCCACTTCTTTCGAGCGAACTAACTTCAAACGATAGGATGTGATGTCGAATTTGTTCATTATTGATGGGGTTGTGACTAGCCATCTTATAGATTATTTCTAGTTGTCTTAACATATGATTAATATGTACATAGTGTGTCAGACAATTATATCGGACTTTTTAATTTGTACTTGTTCAAAACCGTCTATTTTTACCATTTACTTGGCTTAATCTAGTTCATATATCATTGATAGGAAAATTACGACGTTACTTTTTTTATGTTTAAGTTGTCAATTTTAGCTGGTTTATATTGTGAATTTTTTTGCGAAAAGACCTTTTTGTTTTAAGTTCAACGATGCAGTGTATTTCCTCAAAAATTACAATTCTCTAATTTCTGCCGATATCTTTCTGATATATTCACACTTGCCAAATGTGTTCTTTATAACATATTAAACTCTCGACCCTTTGTTAGTGTTATGACAGCGAAGACGAAAGGAGCAAGTTTCCCGTCTGATCGATATGAGTACCTCAGGTAAGCAAACCAGTCAGCCTGCTTTGTTTACACAGAGAGGGGGGTCGTACGATTATCTCAATCCGAAACAAAAAATTTGTGACATATAATTGAAAGCTTGCAACAATAGGAAGCGGCGACTCGTTCGGATCTGCTAAGGAGAAGTAGTTCTTCCTAAGCCCAGCTAAGTATTCATTTAATTGCGTGCATAATATTTCATTTTGGAAAAGGATGCCTTTCATGAAAATTTTCACGTGTAAATTTTAAACGCCGCACTAAAAATGTTAAAACAGCAAAGGCTGTTACATACGGTGTAATTCGGTATAATCTTGTAATTCGGTTTAAATTCAGTTTAATTCCAGTTACTACGGGTTATCTTTTTTTTCACTATCCTCTAATTCATCATGGTGTAGTAATAGTGTTACTTTAAGATTATATGTTAAGAAAATGAAGGGATGTGACCCTATCTCTCAGGCCTTTTGGGACAGAGTATTGAGACAGTGGGTTGCACTGCTAGCAGGAAATCGTTGCGAATTAGCTAACTTCGCCTACAACCCAGTAAACCATGACACCTGCAGAAACTAAATGGGTAGACACTTTTCTTTGGACTGACCGGATGATGAAGACCTTATTATACTAGGTTACATAATTCATCTGGTTTTGTGTGGCACGTTATAATTATCTTACACTGTCTTAATTACGTGTGATTAATGTTAATTTATAATAGCTAACACGTCTGGCTAGGCGCCTACCCCAAAGCAAATCTATTCTCGCCTGATTGTGCATGATTTATGTAAAGAAATCTTAATTTTGACTTTATATCTTTGACCTGCATTATCTCCGTAATTTGAGTTATGAACGCGATATTGGCGGAAATTGCAATGAAGTTAAATAATTTTTTGTTTTTGTTATCGGGAAAGATTAGACTTGGGCGTTGTTTTTGACCTAGCCCTTGATAGAACTTTGATTTAATATTTAATATAACGCTAGAACTAAATAAACGAACGACAAAAATAAAACGGCTAGATTTTTTATTGGAAGAGATTTTACACTGTAAACTGTTACAACTGTAGCGACGTATATTCCAGTATGGGTGTGATGGACTGGTTAAACTCGCAGTTAACGCCACAACAACAGAGACCACATCTCTGAGACGCTGGCCCTAATCTTACGTACTGGCAGTCACGTGATACCGCGACTCTTATCACCACTTTACTCTTCTCTACTATTTGCAGTTAGTCTAAACCTATATTTTAGAATACTGTCTTTTGAACACCCGATGCAAATAACAGAGAACGAGAGATGGACACCGACAAATTTGAATGATAGACAATAGTTGCAATGTAGTATTTACTATTGCCTTTTTGCTGATATCTGTCATTTACATATAAATCATGTATTCCGTAACGAAGGGGTGCCAACAATGACTTGCGAAAAAAACCGGCATCAACAACTTCACTCGGAGAGTGAGTGTAGCGAAACAAGTAACCTGCTATCCTTCTCCTGAGAAATTCAACAACTTACAGTTCCAAAACATTCTGTATCATGATCCACTATCTGTAGTATAATAGGCAGTATGTTCAGGGTTTTCAAAATAAACTGATTTTAGGAGGCACATGCAGCAAAAGCCGCAGCTGGAAGGTTTGCATCTTCAGACAAAATTAATACTGTGTTCAGTAATTGCGAACCAATAAACTATTTGAGTTCGCTGGAAGGACCGAAGGGGTAGGCCAAAGCTAAGATAGACATTTCCTATGCGTGTAAGTTCAAAACTATTCGTATTACCAAATATCTGACGATTGTGTTGACCGATGAAACTAAACGTGGAATGTGGACGCCCTCTGAAATGTTTATTTGAGGATACAAACCAGAAGTCGATATCACGTCGTAGATTTGGTAATAATCCAATGAAAAGCAACTCCTTCGACTATCATTTTGAAGCTTAGATTTTGTTGCTACCTCCGGAACTTTAATTTGAACGGAAAAGTAATTGGGACGCAAGCGTTAGAAGGTAGGTCTGTGTTTACGGGTCGTCAAGGGTCAAGTCCGTTTCAAATGTTTTCCAAAATAATTTCCCTATGAAGTTTTGTCCAGGAATATTAATACCTGTTAGTTATAATTTTGGATTTTAAATGGTTTTGGATGCTTCGAGCCGTTCAAGCACACACACACACACACCACACACAACACACCCCCACACACATACACGAGGGGTGGGGTTGGGTCTTGATTCCGGTTGATTACGGGAGGGGGGAGGGAAGTAAAAATTGCTAAAAATAATGATTAGGGTTAATATGTGAACACGATTAGTAATCATTTAGTCAAATTTCAAAGACTGACTATGCCTGTCAAACTGGCACTGAAATTTCCAAAACGTATTTGTAAATTGTGTAACTCTATACCGCGTATAGAGTCTATCTGTTTCTTTTGAGTGTATAAAGTCAATTTAAAACTGCCATCATTGGTTGTGTCAATCAATAATACTTTTTACATACATTTCATATTCCATGCTGAAATAAGATGTTAACATATTAGTGACTGTATTAACTTATTCGTATGACATTTTTTAAATTGTTTCATTCTTTTTACCATTTAAGGAAAATTAATTCATGCTTTATATTATAAGAGGATTGTTTTGTTTTATTATAACTACTCAAAACTTGGTTTAAAACTTAACACAGGGCGATTATAATTTCGCCCCGGCCTTAAAATTATTAATAACCAAATATGGCCATGGACTCTCGTTAAGGCGCGTTCCTGTGCATTAATTCTTTGATCGCGTGCATTTGCACCTTTCTGGGACATTTCTTTTTGCCGACTGCGTCGTCAATCGCATCCCTTTCCCAGTTTGGTATAATTTACGATATTCTCCACAGTATACTACGGACACATGTCTACCCATTGCTGAGTGCAATCTTAACAATCATGTCCTTTTTACGTACATGTGTTACAAACCCTCACAGTATTGTCACACGGTGTAAGCTCGCTGAGTTTTACCTTCGTTGTCAATGAACAGACAACGAAAGTACCCTCGCTGCATACACTTGTCCTGAGGAAATTAGAACTTGTCAAATTTTAAAAAAAAAGGCGATAATGAATATGTTGAAACTAAGACCGGACAAATTATACAGAGGGTGGCCCGCCAGAGCTAATATATATAATTATATACATATATATTATTCTATAATTCATTAACATAACATTAACTACATATATGTACCTTGATCCGGTGTCCATGACGCTGTATAGGGCTGGTCGTGCATGTGCATTCCTCGCATCCTTGTAGACTTTGCTCCGATTTGTCGTCTTAGTTTACGTGTCGAAAAAGGATATTTCAACTTTTTCTCTCGTAGGGGCGAGCTGGAAGAGGGAATTGTACTGGTCGTGGGCGATTCGGGCACAACTTGCACTTATCAGGACAGCTCCAAGAGAATGAACTGGGAACACTTGTATGCTTGGAAATATATTGTTATTATGAATACCTTTGGTAAACTGTAATGATAAGATATTAAAAAGTTATACAATTTATTCAATAAATATTGAATATTGATCCTACTGTAAACTTGACTTTTTACGAATTAAGGACCAATATTAATAACCATTTCTCCAAATGATTTCATGGCAACTAATTTTGGAATAGAAGGAATTACTCGGGTACTATTATATATATACCGACTTTTACTGTGTAGGAGTACAGACAACGAATACTATATATATATATAGTAATGAAATAGTTGCTGTTTGGTTTCCAAAGAGAGTGCTCGACTGCAGTTAAGCAGGAGCATTATGATTCGAAACAATTGATACAACTCAAATTGGCGGGCAAACGATTTCCGTTTATGATTGTATAAAAAAAATACCACCTCAGTGCCAAATAGAATAATGATAGTTATAGCGCTATGACATGTTGCTCCTTTATAAAATAATTTTATCGATTAAAAACAAAAAAAAAAAAAAAGTTTCATAATTATGAAACATTTCAAAATTTCCAAAATCTTCCAAAAAAAAACACAGTTTATTGTGTCGTCCAAATTTTAAAAATTGTCTTATGAAGTAAGGTTAGTAAGATTCTCTTTGGCTTTTTAAAGTTGTAAACTGCGATGGCCTTCGAGTGTTAGTGGTAGAGGAAAATTCTTTACTGAGTTCGTGATGATGCTGGTAGAATTAGGATCTGTATTTCCATTTTTGTTTAAACTTTAACACAGGGCTATTACTAATTCGCCCGCCTTAAAATTATTAACCTAACCAAAAATGCCCATGGGACTCTCGTTAATGCAGCGTCCTGTGCACTTAATTCTTCCTGATCGCGTGCATTTGCACTTTCTGGGACATTTCTTTTTGCCGACTGCGTCGTCAATCGCAATAACTTTTCCAGTTTGGTATGATTCACGATATTATCCACAGTATAATACGGACACATGTTCTTACACCATTGCTGAGTGCAATCTTCAACACTCATGTCCTTTTTACATGTACATGTGTTACAACCATCACTGTATTTGTCACCGGTGTAAGCTCGCTGAGTTTTACCTTCGTTGTCAATGAACAGACAACAGAAAGTACCCTCGCTGCATACCACTTGTCCTGAGGAAAATTAGAACTTGTCAAATTTAAAAAAAAAGATAATGAATATGTTGAAACTAAGACCGACAAATTATACAGAGGGTGGCCCGCCCAGAGCTAATATATATAATTATATACATATATATATATAATTCGAACAATTGAAACAAATCAAATTGGCGGGCAAACGATCCGTTTCATGATATGTATAAAAACAATACCAATCATCAGTGCCAAATAGAATAATGAATTGTAGCGCTATGACATGTTGCTCCTTTATAAGATAATTTTTATCGATCATGAAACATTTTCAAAATTATCAAAATTTACAAAATTTCCAAAAAAACAGTTTATTGTGTCCGTCCAAATTTTAAAATTGTCTATGAGCGTAAGGTAGTAAGATATCTTTGGCTTTTAAAGTTGTAAACTGCGTTGGCCTTCGTGTAGTGGTAGAGGAAAATTCTTTACTGAGTTCCGTGATGCTGGTAGAATTAGGATCCGTATTTGAGAGTTAATTGTTGATTCTGGTTATCAAACGTTTTTTTGGAAATTTTGTAAATTTTGATAACCCCGAAAATGCCCCATGACCGACAAAAACCATCTTACAAAGGAGCAACATGTTACAGCGCCACAATTCACCACTCCATTTGGCACCGATGACCGGTAATGGTATCGTCCCCATACATATCATGAAACGGATCGCCCGCCCGCCAACCCGACCCGTCCCAATTGCTCGAATCACAATGCTCCCGCTCAACTGCAGTCGAGCACTCCCCCCGGGAAACCAAACAACAACCATTCATTACATATATATATATATATATATATATATATAATAAATAGTTGTTGCCCGGCCTCCCAAAGAGAGCGCTCGACTGCAGCCAAGCAGGAGCATTATCACAGTGCTGGCAAGCACGACCGTTGCATTTATTGTGGGTATACTATGTACCCAATTTACTATTATACCCCCTTTACTATTATACCCCCTTTACTATTATACCCCCTTTGGTACACATTACAAGCCTCTTTCGTGCACGCGAAGCGTGCACTCCGGCCGGAGGCGGCGGCCGAAGGCCGCCGCCTCCGGCAGGAGTTTTTCAGGCATTAAGACTCATCGGAAGTCGTTCAGCAGATTTATTTTTAGTTCAAAACATTCTAATTTGATGTCAAAGATGACAGGAATAAAAAATAGTTATGTTGAGATTTTTAAGAAATTTGCATAAAATACTCGCCAGCACTGTTATACGAAATTCGGTAAAAAACCCAAAATCGCCATATTCAGGTGCCTTAAAAACCATGCTAAAATTGAGTTAGAGATCTGAAATTTTTCAGGGCGTCTAGACATTGACCAAATCGACTGCAAAAAAAGTTTCAGGTTTCAGGATTATCGGGAAATGGGTTTTCTAGAACCCCTGTTTTACGATAGATTGTCGTGATACATACAGATATACATACATATATATTCAGGGATAGACGCTTTGCCAGTCAATTGTAGCCTGTATTTAATTGTCCATAGATTCAAAAGTATAAAAGATACAGCCATTTCCGACCACAGGTCTTGAAAATAATTGTTTACACTTTAGTTTACATTGTATAAACAAATTATTTGACGTCATGAACACCCCTTGATGACGTCATCAAGTTAACCGTTTTTAAAACTTGATTTTTGACAAAGTAATAACTTTAAAAAATGATTTTACACCATTAAAAAGTATTGTATTCAAAATCTGAGGAAATTTTCACCTTAGATAATTGTTCAAGCATTCTGAAAATCTACCGGAAAGTTTTTCTAGCTTGCTCCTTCATAAAGATATTCGTCATTGAAGTTTGTGCTTTTTTGAAGAATTATTTTATAAAAACGTCAATTTTGCGATTTAGTATTCTCTGGTGTTGGGCCATGCCTTGGGTTGTGGAGCTCAGTTCTGCTTCTTATAGGTATAAATTGTGCATTAGGCTAGTTTTAAAGTTTAAAATCGAAAAGTTGCACACGTGGGGACACGCCCAAATTGATAGAAAATTGCTAAAATCACTGAAAATTGCTGTTTTCGTCATTTTCTGTCAACTTTAGAGTGCCGTTGTGATTACAGTTCTTCTTGAAATACTTTGAAACTTTGCATGCTTATTAAACTATATATAAAACAATTACATGCAAAAATTTAGGGCGATTCAATATTGGATGCGCACGCAACGTCCGCTCAAAGTTTGCACGTGCGAAAGGTAAGAATTTTGCTCATTCGTAATTTCCAACAAATTCTGCTTTGCCACGACAGTTTAATGTCATTATATATGAATTTAATGCCAACTTGAATGAGTATTAAGTGGCATATTCAGTCAGTGATCGACCGATATGCTTACCTAAACACAAGGAAATGTTTTTAAAGGACAAATTTCGAAATCGTTGAAACTTCCTCCTTATTAATGAAGATATCAGTTTATATTTCGACTTTATAAAGTACCCTGACATTATAATCAAAAAGAGATGATATTTTACCAAAACCCATAATCATGGGTAGAGTGGACCGCTGCCAGTGTCTCTCTTTCCCAAACAAAAGGAAATGATATTAATTTAATTGACCGTTCTCAAATGCAAAATGATACCGAGAATGAAATCGGTCGCTCGCTTTTCCCATTCATTTACAATTGTAACAGATTAAGAAGAACTACCCAAAGGCAGCTGTACTCGGCAATAAAGATTCAATAAACTTCAGCTAATTCAATAAGTAATAACTACCACCCTTACCCCGAAATACTAGGTATCGACCCGAACGCAACCCAAAGAGATTTTTACAGCATCTGATTGATGTAATCAATCGAAACTTATTACAATTCGTAAGCCGTGAATGAATGGGAAAAGCGAGCGACCGATTTCATTCTCGGTATCATTTTGCATTTGAGAACGGTCAATTAAATTAATATCATTTCCTTTTGTTTGGGAAAGAGAGACACTGGCAGCGGTCCACTCTACCCATGATTATGGGTTTTGGTAAAATATATATATATAATTCATTAACATAAAATTAACTACATAATGTTTACCTTGATCCGCGGGTCCCATGAAGCTGATATAGGGCTTGGTCGTGCATGTGCATTCCTCGCATCCCTTGTAGACCTTTGCTCCGATTTCGATCTTCTTATTTTCGTGTCGACAAAAGGTTATTTCAACTTTTTCTTTCGCTGGGGGCGAGCTGGAGGAGGAACTTGTACTGGTCGTGGGCGATTCGGCAAAACTTGCACTTATCAGGACAGCTCCAAGCAGAATGAACTGGAACATTGTATGGCTTGGAAATAATATTGTTATGATACCTTTGTGTAACTGTAATGATAAAGATATATAAAAAGTTATACAATTAAATTAACAGTCTGAGAGTCGGACTGCGTACAGCTGTACACAGCTAGTAATAGTATGAAACATGAAAGGAAAATTCTTTGTTCGTCGATATTATGATCATATTACTGTGAACAGGTGAACTGCATAAATCAAAATTAAATATTGAATATTGAACCTACTAGTAACTTGACTTTTTACGAATTATGACCAATATTAATAACCATTTCTCCAAATTATTTCATGGCAACTAATTTTGGAAATAAAAGGAATTACTCGGTACTAATATATATATACCGACTTTTAATGTGTAGGAGTACAGCAACGAAATATATATATATATATATATATATATATATAATTAATAAATAGTTGTTGTTTGGTTTCCCAAAGAGAGTGCTCGACTGCAGTTAAGCAGGAGCATTACGATTCGAACAATTGATACAAATCAAATTGGCGGGCAAACGATCCGTTTCATGATATGTATAAAAAACAATACCAATCATCAGTGCCAAATAGAATAATGAATTGTAGCGCTATGACATGTTCAAAATTTCCAAAAAATCTTCCAAAAAAACACAGTTTATTGTGTCCGTCCAAATTTTAAAATTGTCTATGAAGTAAGGTAGTAAGATATCTTTGGCTTTTAAAGTTGTAAACTGCGTTGGCCTTCGAGTGTAGTGGTAGAGGAAAATTCTTTACTGAGTTCCGTGATGCTGGTAGAATTAGGATCCGTATTTCAATTTGAGAGTTAATTGTTGATTCTGGTCTGGGCGGACACAATAAACTGTGTTTTTTTTGAAAGATTTTTTGGAAATTTTGTAAATTTTGATAATTTTGTAAATGTTTCATGATCGATAAAAATAGCGCTACAATTCATTATTCTATTTATGAATTGGGTTGTGGCTAAGATTATGGATAGCTTCGGGGTTATGGTTAGGGTTAGGGTTGGGATTACGGTTTATGTAAAACCGTTTTGTACGGCTGCAAAACCAAAAAAACCAAAGTCACGTGAAATTTTTGGGCGAGCGATTTAGTAAGAGCCGGTTTTATTTTATCTGCACTTGGGGCCCAATGTAATTGCTCGACTTTTTATCAGGTCTCTCGAGGCCTTTAGTTTGGTTATTTGGGTGTATTGGTGTCCCCTGATTGTTATCATCGCTGTACACTTGTCAAGGCATTTTTTGGTTTCTCTAGTCCATTTTTAGAAATTCTATACAACATTGATATTGTAATAAATTCTGATGATAATAATTGAAAGATTTCAATAAAAAAAAAAAAAAAATTAATTGTATCACGTCGTGACCCTCATTGCTATTTAATTTAGTGTATCGGGGCGAAAGCCACGATACATGTACAGCTAACAGCCGCACACTCGTGTGCGGCGGGCCAACAACGTTAATTTTAAATTACGTGAGGCAAACATAAGGTTAATAAGAGGTTTATCGCATCCTTATATATATTATTATTAATGTATATATATATATAATTATATATATAATTCGAACAATTGAAACAAATCAAATTGGTGGGCAAACGATCCGTTTCATGATATGTATAAAAAACAATACCAATCATCAGTGCCAAATGGCTCTTACTAAATCGCTCGCCCAAAAATTTCACGTGACTTTGGTTTTTTTGGTTTTGCAGCCGTACAAAACGGTTTTACATAAACCCTAATCCCAACCCTAACCCTAACCATAACCCCGAAGCTATCCATAATCTTAACCACAACCCTAACCCTAACCCGAGCCCTAAATAATCGAATTCACGTTTTACTAGCCTGTCACGTGACCAAAACGGTTTTTTGCGCATAACTCTCCAGGGAAGCATTTTAACCCTACGTCATGGGGGGTGATTCGGAATCAGCGTCCAAAAATACACCGATCTAGATCACTTTCATGCCTAAAGGGCCTTTTCACAAGAATTTTCTTAAAATTTGGGCGAGCGATTTAATAGGAGCGAATAAAACCTCATGTCTGATGTCAGCTCATTAAGTCACACTGTCACTAACTACTGCCTTTATCGCGAAGTACGCTACTAGTACTACTACCAGTACTAGGTATCGGCCCGAAAGCAATGCAATCCAACAACAAATAAGATTTCTACAAAATGAGATTGAGTAATAAAATTAAACCTGAACTAATTGTTCAAAGTATCTTAAAGTTAAAGTTAACGGATGTTACTCGTTTAAATTTCTTCGTACGGTTCACTAAAACTTAAATTTTGAATTTATTTTTACCATAACCAATTTGGTCAAGTTCTCAAAGCTCTGCAAAATTTGTAATTGAATATTAGCTAATGTATAATTATGAATGATGACAGAAGGACAATAAAATTTAGTCGTGTAACACATAACATAAAGAATGTAACGTACACAATTAATTTTAAAAGCCTCGCGCAGATCATGTTATCAGTTATGCGAGCGAAAGGGGTGCCATCGGCATTAGATTTAGTACAGATAAGATTGGGCATTTGTAGGTTTATAACCTAACAGTACGTACCAGAACGCGCGCCGAGTTGGACTCGTCCTAATATTCGAAACAAATATTTTACGAGTATCACCCATTAAGGGGGCATGAGTGTGGAGTGATGAGCTTTTCCCGAATTGTACATCTTTTTTACGAAAAAAATTGTCTGATTTTGCAGTAAAATATACTATATACCGGTTTACATAATAAGTTAACTTAACGGGTGATACTCGTAAAATATCTGTTCCATATATTGGACCGTCGACGAGTCCAACTCGGCGCGCGTCCTGGTAGGTTATAAACCTACAATAAGTTAACTTGCTCTTCCTAGCAAAAGTTACTGGTTGGCAGTGTTACTAAACGTGGTTTAATTTAAACAGACGGCTTGATCTCGAGCGCGACATAAAGTTTAAGATTTGCACGCGTATGGCGTGGCGCATTCCACTTTCCAAATGCAGCTAGCACGTGATGCACAATTCAGCCAATCTAAATCAGACGACAGAAATCTGCAAAGTCAAAGTTGCAAACTTTTGATCGGCCCAAAATGACACTTTTCTGGAGATTTTAAGATAACTCAAAATCTACGTTGTACGTCGTTTTAAATTTATTTTTTTAGATAACTCTACACTGAGTTAAATCTTCATCCAAGGTTCTCTAGTTGGCCCTGAAGTCTGAACGATCCTGGCCTAATCGAAACCGTAGCCCTCTAATCTGATCCCAACCCAATCCATAATGTATAACATAAACAAAAGCATATATCATATATGCTGCTGAAACCCTAACAGTAACCCCTAACGAGATGCGAGAAATTATACCACCTTCTTTATACGGTCATATCTGATATCACGCGTGATATCCCGCCAGGGGAGCATTTTATGTTAAAGCCTCAGGGGGTGATTCGGAATCAGCGTCCGAAAATACATCGATTTAACATTTTAAGTTCGTTTCTGGTTTCGCAACTGTCGATCGGGGGCTATATTTGATAAAAATCTCGAAGATGGAAGGTAAATTGATTCAGCACGCAGGATTGTGCTTTAGAAAGCAAAATCATAGAATGCAAGATCGAAGAATGCAAGATCGAATTAGTTAATGCAAGAAGCAGAGCAACGAAGTCAAAAGTAGAGCAACGATATCGAAGCACAAAGGGTTGACATCGTCAATCAACTTAATAACGTTCGGTCGACGCGAAAGAAATATTTGCTTCATTCAGAGGGAGCATAAAGAAAACATTTCAACTATGCGACTCATAAATAATATTCCAATCCGGATTTTACAGTTACACGAGAACCACCGAGATAAGAAGCCGAGAAGGCTTGATTGAGAATGTAACATCATATGAATGATGTCCCAGATCGAGGTAATAGTAATACTCCGAGCGTTGTCTCTAAACTGACTTATTTCAGTGATGCTCGAATTGATTCCCTCTCCCGGCCTCATTAAATGACTACTAGTCTCTTTAATGTATTAGACTAAGCCTGCAATTGCACCAATTTTATTCAGCCTGTGTTTTGGGATTTCGATTCCACCCCAGCAACTTATACAATACTAATAGCTAGTAGTAGTACAAGCTAAACATAAAGACAAGGTGCTGTTCTCTTGTGTATAGTGCCGTTCTCCATACGGTTCGGCTTTGTATTAGATATTCCTTAAGGCACGCTGATCGAGAATAGATGACTTCAAGTCTCCGTCGTACCCCGTTTTATCGATTCGCATCTACCTGGATAAAATAGCTTATAATGTTAGTTATACGTACATAGCTTCAGAATGTACAGGGTGTTTACGATAAATCGGAACGGATTAATTCATGAAGGAGTAACCAGCTATCGAACGAGACATATTTATGTTCAACGTAATTCTGGTGACCTAAGGGGTCGTTCACATATTACGTAATCAATATTTTAGCAATTTTTACCCCCTCCCCCCTTCCGTAATCAACCGTAATCAAGACCCAACCCCCCCCCCCCCCCCCCCCCCCCCCCCCCCCCCCCTTTGACTTTTTTTCCTAGAAAACACTTTTCTCTACGTTTCATGCTACCCTGATCATGCTATCTACGGTAGATTCTACCCTAATCATGATGAGCCGAAATCATTGTTATGATATCCGGCCAAGCACCTTCTAAACTATTTACTATTATATATTATTATACTTGTAGGTTTACAACCTACCAGAACGCGCGACGGTAATATACGGAACAGATATTTTACGAGTATCACCCGTTAGTTAGTATTACTAGTAGGGTACCCGTCCTCCGGACGGCAATAATTCTTTACTTTTATTGACACCACGTTTTCGCTTTTTAAATTTACTGTGTCGAATTTAAAGACAGCATTTTCAAATATTAGAATTAGCATTAGAATCAAATTTACACAGCAATACGATATAAATAGTAAATAATTTAAATTGTCTATTATTATTGTCTTAATAACGAATGGTGTCAAGAGTTAGAAACTGAAATCATTATTACCTATTTAAATTGT